TAAAAAAACACATTTATATTGAGCGTATTCACCACGCAAAAATCGCATCAAAAGGTATTTCAAATATACAAAAGCACATGTTCCAAAAAATAAACAAGCCTAACCATTAAACAATTTGTTTGTGTTTCTTATGCGTAACGTCACACTACCCAAGCAGCAATTCCCCTTTATATTCTGATGTGATAAACACCTCCTCCGAAAGCGTTTGATTGATTCATTAACACGAGGCATCGATACAATGTAAACTATATTGTCTGACCCTCAGTGAAGTCGAACTTACGTGTGTCAGAGGCTAAAAAAATCATACGGTAATCATTACTGCCAAGATAAGTTATGATGTCTAGCTGGTTCGAACTCTGATTCCTATAACAGTAAATTAAGGGGTATAACCCTGTCAGATCCTGATTCCCATGTTACAAAACTAGGCGAGTTTAACACTGTTTGAATCCTGGTTTTCAGAACAGTAGCTTACACGCAAATTAGGGAGTCAATATGTTTTCTCATAACAGTATATTACACATAAATTAGGTTGTATAAGCTGATTCGAACAACTGTAAAGACAGTTAAGACCTTAGGTTTGGTTTGATGGGTACGGCAACGCAACACACGGGCTGTCAGGGGCCCTTCTCCCCGGTCTTATGGGAAATTGGCTCTTATTTGGGTGTTAGACATGTGCAGAAAACCCGAAAAACTTCACGTGGCCAGTCCAGTCCGTTGGCGGAGCGCAAAACCGGACCAACTACCGGCATTCAGCGGCGTTATCCACTAGGCAACTGGTGGGTTTAAAAGCTTACGAAACGGGATTCGAACCCACGATCTACAACACATTCTGTTACACCAACGAGCCATTTTAATCGGTCAAACGCTAATCGTTTACCTTACCAAATTCTATTGAATAAAAAACTAAAATGTTTAACGTAATCTACACTAATTTACCATTTATGATACAAAACACACATAAAATAAGTAGATAACATTAGTTTGAAGTAAAACTTGACGAAAAACTTAATGGAGAGTTTTACCTACGTTTCGAGCTATTATACGAGCCAACGTACAGTACATACATATATATATGTACCTTTTCTACATGTTAAATCAGCTTGTATGGCAGAGGGGGGTTGAATTACGACTGTCGCTAGTACATGCAATCATGGAGAAAATTGTAATGTATTGCTGTTAAATGTAACATGCTATAATGCTACTCGCTCCGCAGACTTGCCCAAATGGTAGTTGATCGATTGGTGATTTTTGTAACTGCTATTGTTCGTTTCTTTAACTTCTTTCTCTCTCTCCATTCGATGGAATTTAGGTGTTCTCAGCCAGAAATTTCTACAACATTATCTCCTTTAATATTTCCTGATTTCGTTTTGTAAAATTTTATATATATATATATTTTTATTTTATTTTTTTAAAATTTTGTATAAGGGTATAGGAAGCGTGTAAATTTTTTTTAACTTTAAAAACTTTGTTGTTGTTGCATTTTTTTCCCTTTTACTTTCCCTGTAATTTCTTCCCGTAAGTGAATATCGAATCGAAGTTTTTGGAGGGATAATTTCAATTTTTCTCGTTTTCTAACTGATTTTTTGGTTAAAAAATCGCTTAGTAGAAAGTTTTCTTTCCTTTTTTTCTTAGTTTGGATATTTTTGGTGAGTTTTCAGGGGATTTACTTAACTTTAAAGAGTAATTGTAACTGGTTTTCTTAATTGTTAATCTCTCTATTTGTTATTGAATAGGTTCTAACTCGTATATTTAGGTGATTACTTTTGGTTTAAATTTTTAAAATTGTATAAAAAAAAGTAATTATTTTTTTCTAAACACTTTTATAACACATGTTCTTATATTTCGCGTTATTCCGTGTTTCATGGTAAAATTGTAGATTAAATTTACAAAATTATTTCCATTTTACACCTTTAATTACGTAAATTAAGATATTTACAAATAATTACAGTATATTAATATGTAAAAGGTAAAAAAAACCCGTCCAAACATGTCTTAAATAATGGGAGAAAAAAATTCATTTTTCTTATCTTTTTAAGAGAATATTTATGACTTTTATCTTTTCTTTATCCTTAAAAAATTTCTGAAAATTAAGTTTAAAAAAAAATCAATTCTTTATTCGAAATAGAAAACCTTAAATCTCCATTTGTCTGCGGGATAGAAGAAACTATAGAAGGTGAAAGCCTGTTCTAAATGTAAGCGAATCACCTTTTACTATCTATGGAGATAAATAGTGACACATTTCTTGACCATTGGGTCTAGACGTAAGAGAAGAAGATTTCCTATTCCCATGTGGGTATTTTAGTCAGCCTTATCTGCTATCTTGCCTGTGAATGTTGTAAGCGAGGTATGCTCTCCTCTTTGGTTTATCTCAATCATCCCAAAGCATGTTGATCGAAAATGGCAACCGCTGACCAGGCAACACTACTAAATCGCTAGAAGACTACTTCTACATCCCTTCTACTCAATTTACTCCTATTTACGGTATGAATATTTCACAAATCTCATAAATTCGTTTAACAGAAACTATTTAACCTACTTCTATACAACTAGAGGAGGATGTTTACATTAAAACATATCGAAAGATGGAGGTAAAAGCTAGACTTTTACCTATTTTTTCAAAAAATATATATCGATGTCTATATGTAATAAATGTATAAAAAAGTGAATATAGGATAGACATGGATAGATGTGTTGGAGGCAAAACGAAATCTCGGACTGTGAATCCCCTAGACACGTTAGGATCACATCTAGAAGCGAGGTGTGACTTGATTTATGGTCTGGGACGTCTTTAAAAGGCTTGCAGTTTGAACGTTTCCTATCGCCGGTGTGTTTGTGTTCCCTAACGGAAAATTCCATTTCTCACAACAACGCTGACGTGGTGGATAATTAAATGTCCCCGATTTAAAATAGCAGTTCCATGTTGAAAGCTTCGTAAAGCCTTTTCCCCCCTTTAGCAGTCAGTCAAACGTTCTTCTATTCAGACTTTAAAGCTTTTTTCCCCACCCTCTGCCTTTTTTTTCTTCCCTTCTTCTGTTTGGCAGAACTGCTTTCGCTACAACTGCTAAAGCCATTTGTAAAGATGGCTCAATCATTTACTAGCATAGAAAACTCTTCTTTGTTAGAAAAATATTTTTTTAATAATATAAATCTTCAACTTGATTAAAAATCTAGCTAATATCCACTTTTATCAATATCTAAGATTTATATTATAAATATATTCTATATATATACATACATATAATTTATTACTATAAATTTGTTTCATTTATCTGATGGTAAAAATCATAAATTTATGAATATTAACTTATAAAATTTATAATTTATTCTACATTTAGAATTGGAGAAATTCCAAAAAATCAAAAACTTGAGTAAGGAATATAACTCATTCAAACTGACAAGTAAAATAAGATTCAACAGAGGAAAGAAGAAGAATTTTTTTTTTTTTGAATAATTTTACCAATTGAAAAGCATGAACATTTTTCAAACAACAATTTATGATGATGTAGTTGCAGCAGTATTAATAGTTTCTCATTAACTGTAGTAACAGCAATAGAACTTTTATATGTTAAGCTTAAATGGAATTTTGAAGATTAATTTTACCATTTGCATATTTTATTATTTTTCTCTTTCTCTAAAGGATAAAATTTTATGATTTTAACTAGTTGAGTTAGTTTATATAATTTATAGCTAAATAATTTATTGTGATTTATATTTTAAAGGCTTTCCACAGGTGAGTTATGATAATATAAATTACTTTCCTGTTAGTATTAATAAATGAATAAATTATTAGCATTAATTTTATGATTGTGTTTAATATTAATAAAGTATAATTTTTAAAAATGTAATTGGGTAATAATTTGATTGAATTTTGTTTTTCAGTTTATATAGCATTTGTTAAGAATTTCTGTAAAAAAAGTGTCTGGTTGTCTGTCTGTCTCTCTCTCTAAAAAGATAATTAACAAACCTGCAACTTTTTAAGCCATTCTGAAGAGAAAAAGTTTACATTTAAATCCACAAAAAATAATAGCACTATGTTTTTTCTATAAAATGATTAATTATAATTAATTAAAAATACAAACTTCTTTTCAAGCAAAGGAAAAAAAAATCAGATTCTATATTTAAGATTTTATTTTTGTTAATTATTTCTTAAGAAGATTCATAAAATTTTCAAAAACAAAGCAAAAGACAGAAAAAATAACTTTAAAACAGTTTGATATACTTTGTCAATTGTTCCAACTTACAAATATTCATAATTGATTAATGTGTATAAAAATATAATATATTTTCAATTAATAAAATTAAGTTATTTATGCTAAAACTCAAAATTAAGTTCTTAAATCATTTACAAGTGATCCATATCAAAACATATCAACAGTGATGCAACCATTTTATATTATTAAGTTTACTAAAAACATATCTACGCATTAATAAAGTATTAGATTCTATTTTAAAAAGTTGCTTTTGATTCTAAAATTAACATTCGATACAAATATAATGTTTAAACTCTTTAAAAAGCTTAAATAATAATTAAAATTGAATATAAATAAACGAATAATAAAACTGGGACAAGTGCGTTACTGATATTCGATGTTTAAATATGTGTGTAAAGTTTCAAAATTTTGACAAGCATAATTTAGTATCATTTGGATAAAAGCCAAAATTGAAAATACTGTTATTTTCAAACCCTCTCAGTTAATGTGTTTTAATGATTGTTCTGTAGATCCTTCATTGACTGACAAACTTTTCTCAATAAAGCCTGTTAACATACATGTCAGAAGCAATAATTCTTTCTTTCTTACTATTTGCAAATTTATTTAATAATGAATTTTTCATTAAGTTGTTTGCATATAGTTATGACAATTGAAATAATGTGGAATTTTAACTACTTATGTACAGTACAATATATGTAATGCACAAAGATAGAGAATGAATGAAAAGCTTTTAATTTAAAAGTGTTTTATATGTAGAGAGTATTGTAAAATATTTAACACAACAATTGATGAGTTTAATGGATTTTCTTTATTTACAGAAAAAAAATGTTCTGCCTTGAGAGTCAATGCTTTAAAATTTTATCTTAAATTAAAGCCGTGAACACAGCTCGATATGGAATCGCATTAATTTTAAGTGAAAAATATTCTCAATTTATATAAATTATACAATTTTTTACTATCTGATGTTTGTAGTGGAACCTTTTCTTATTTACATTTTACTTCACAAAAATTTTTTAAAAGTTATATGTAATTTTCTTTACATATCAGTCACTAACAACAATATATAAATCACACAGTTATAAAGAATCCATTCTATTAGAAAGTTTTCCTTTTTTATTCTTACAACTGTGCAACATTTATCTATTGTATATTACAAAATTAGCACGTTTGTCCATAAAAATCACCATATCTAATGATTTTATATATAAAACAATATTTAAGATCAAGACGGGACAGAAGAAAATTAACTGATACATGGGGAAAGAATATATAAAAAGATTAACTGATAAACTATAGAATAATTAAAACTTTAAATTAATATTCCATTATTATTATTAAGAATTTAATTCCAAACTGTAAACTTATCAGTTAACATGATGGTTTATTCAAGTATATGTTGATATTACTATATTTTTCGGTACTTTTAAAATAATACAAAAAATGAAATGACAAGTAGAAATATTACAAATGAAAAATTTACATAATGAGATTTAATGAATATTTACACTGCACCAAATAAGTAGAAATTACAAGACATGGATTTGTACTTATTTACATGAATTAAATAATAAACAAAAGAAGAATTTTTTTATTAAAAAAAAATCATTCTTTAATTTTTTTCCTTTTATTGAAACTGCTGCACTGATGATGCAATATACAGAAATATAAATGTACTTTATTTTAAAACTGGGGAGCATACTGGAAAATTTTGGGCAAAACAAATGAAGGGATATGGCGTACTTATAAAAAAAACCACAAAAACATCTTCACATATAGATGAAATTAAACCTGAAAAGAATAGAAAATTGTCAAAAAAAATAACTAAATTTTTTATTTAATTTATATATAATCATATTTTAATTTATCTTTTTTATGCTTAAAAGTTGCAACCATACTGTTTTCAATTTTTATTCTTCTANGATATACATTTTAATATTATGATGTATAAAATATACAATGCGAATTCTTAACAAAGTAATATACCGTAATAAACTATGTTATATAACACTAGTTTTTGATAATATATAGGTTAATATTATGATGTATAAAATGTGTCCTCCTTTGCAATTTTCTATACAGAAATCCTCTGTCAATCTCTGGGAAAACTGCCAAAACAGCTTATTTGTTTTTTCTCTTATGTGTAACATTGTCTGAAAACATTTTCAAATTCTACATGTATCATTACTAATTAATAGTTAATAAAGTATATAACTGAGATGTAATTACTGTCAAAGTGCCAAATTAAAACTTGTTAATTAAGAATTTTTCTCCCCAAAATTTTCCTAAGCTTCTCAAAAAATATATTAATTTTTTGAGACATATAGAATAAGTTCAGAATCTCAAATTTTTCTTTTATTAATAAATTAATCTTATATTCTGTAATATTCACTACTTTTACCAACTCAACCTAAGAGAAATGATATTACAAAGAATAAGAAAATCAATGTATCTGTGTACATGTAACAAACTTTGTTTCAACTACTACTTATTCTAACCCACAGTTCCCCTGACACCTTCAATCCCACAATTTCCTTTGAGGGTAGCATTCCCAAGCTGTCTGCCATTCCAGGGGATTTCCCGACTGACCACAGAGAAATGGAATCTGTCACACTGTGAATGACTGGCCGCACACCCATTCTTCTCAGTTCTAGCTCTCCAATAATCTGCCATCTGTGAGCTGGAACTGGATCAATAATCTCACCACAATCCCAACTGGTCTCGTTAGTTCTTCTAGGTGTTGGGACCAGCTATTTAAAGATCATTATTTTGGTGCAAAGTCTCAAAATCCACCCTTATCTGCCAATTCGGATAATGGTATTTTTTTCCTTTTATTTTTGAAGTGGATTCAAAAATTGATGCAAGATCTATCCATTAATTTTTTTATTTTTCTTTACAAATCTAAGAAAACATTTAGTCCCTATAAAATTTGAACTTATGATGATTATAATGAATCAAATATTTTTTAAAAATTTTCCAAAATTAGCAAGTTTTGAAGATGATTCAACATTTTTTGAAAATTAAATTAAGTAATTAAGTAATAAATTAAGTTCATATATATATATCTTTCTACCTCATTATCTAAAATTCTCTGTTAGGACAACATAAAAATTCTACAGGAAATTAAACAAAAGCAGAGAACTCCCAAGAGTTCATTATAAAAAGATTTCTACTTAATAAATATTTTGCCTTGAAAATCCACAAATCTTGGCACCATTATAATAAGATGAGAAAAAGAATATGTTAAAATTTCCTCTGTATGCAAATATGCAAATCTTTACAATATCTTCATCATCATCATCGTTAAATAATTTGTTACTTTCTAAATAATTTTAAATTCTATAGCTTTGAATATTTGTTATAACAAGTAAAGCTGAAGATGGGTCAAAAGAAACCAAAAACATTTTCAGTAAATAAAATAATTGGTTACCTTAGCAAACAGTGTGGAAGGACTTCTCTTATGATGTTTTATCATGTATCATTATGCATTTAGAATACAACATTTGAATATTAATCAATGATATTTCAATATTAATCAAAAATAAACAATAGAAATAGTATCAGAATTTAATTCATAAAAATATATATAAAATGGACATTTTTATTTACAGGTTCTTTAGAAGTTAGATTAAGTTTATAAATATGTTTTTATAACAAATTACTAAAGTTAATTGATACAATTGCAAGAAAACAATTGTTATTTTCCCAATTTATGGATTAGTATTTTCCAATTCTTATCTCTATAGAGCTAAAAAGACTAGCATCGTTCAGATTTTCAAAGTGCTATAATGCAGATTAATTTCAATAACATGTCCGTAAGTTTATTTATTTTATATCAAATAAAAATATATATATATAAACTTTTAACAATAATGTATGTTTGAAATCTCAGGAAAAACTTATAATCAATAAACCTTTTATAATTAAAAACAGAACATAAAATTCTTAATAAATAAAAAGATACTAAAGGATATTAAAATAAGACACACTTAAGGTAATTAAAATATATCAAACTCCAATTTATTCATTTCTGTTTATAAAAAAAGCTGAATAAAAGAAAAAAAATTTCTAAAATGTATATTCTTATGTACATTTACCTGCTGAGTGCTTGAGGAAGGCTAGAAATTATAGGTCCGTACCCTTGAGCATTATCATATAACTCAAACAAAGGAGCAGCAACAAGTTTATAATTTTTCGGAACAGCAAACAATGCTAAAATTAAAACAGAAAAAAAATTATAGCGCATATAAAATACAATTTACATAAATCAAAAATCTTGTTAAAAAGTAAAAGTAGTTATGAAAAAGTATTAGATTTTAATATTCTGGAAGACACACCTGCCCTTAAACACCAAAGCCAACTGTCTTGATCACTATCATCATTACATATGTTAACATTAGATCATTAATCATTTCTTTAGCATTGTCACACCCAATTTGATTAAGTAAAGAATATAATGGAAGAGTTTCTTTTGCCGAAAATACGGAAATGACGGAAAGGTTGAACTGAAATCTATCATATAAATAGAAGTGGGGTATATATTAACACCGATCGGTAACGTCTTGTAAAACATAAAAATATGATTAAGTATAAATTTTAACGAGATAAAAGAGTGATTTATCCCATTTGACAGTTTTGATGTATGATTTACAAAAAATAGCCAATAATTGGTAAGATCAATTTAACAATCAACTCTATATTCATCCTTCTTTCCAAAATCGTATCTTTATTCTGAAATCAAATATAAATACCCAAATGTCACCAAAATTTAAAATAACTTCAGATATTTCCAATAATTAGTTCGGAAATATATATATTTTCAGTTATATGCTTTATGCAGAAGTTTAAATGATGATTCTATCATTTAAGTTTCTTCTAACTTTAATATACATGAAATCAGAAGAAATTGGTATTTTAAATAATTCAAAATTTAATAGTATAAGATTAATAATGAAAACATTAAAAAACTTTTCATTAATTCTCATAGAAAAATCATTTTGAATTTTTAAAATCATCATCATCATCAAAATAGTTCTGTATTTTAAGCATTTCCATGAACTATTGTGATTTATGCATTGATTATATTCCTAGTACAATATGTAAAGATTTGCACAATATTTTTCCTTTCTAGTATGAATATATTGTATTTTATTTTAATTTTACACACAGGAATAACAACTATAGTTAATAAATCTTATTTTAAAGATACATTATCTCAAAAATCAAAGTAAATTAAATCATAAATGCAAATGATTAATATTATTTGCATTTGATAAATTTAGATAGAAATTTAAGAGTAATATCAACAGTTTATTAGGATTTTAATATGAATTTATTTTATATTATATTAATCAAGAAATATATAATGTATGAAAATATTTCAATTAATTCAGTGTAGTAAGAAAATATTTATATATAATAAGAATAAATGCTTTGGATTAAAATTTAAGATACAAATTAGAAGATACTAACAAATAAATGTCAAGTTCAAAGTTTATTACAGTGTCAACCTAAGTTTGCAATATATACATAGAAAAAACTCTTTATTTTAAAGAGCTAATTTTGATTCTAAATTTAAAGAAATTAATTTCATCATGCATTCACATGCACATTCATGCATAAATTACTTTTACACACATCAATTTATTACTCATTCTACTAATCTTTTAATTAGGAAGGTAAATAATAAATAAATAAACACATACAAATAATAAATAAGAACTTTGTTTTTAAATATATATACTATTAATAAATAATTTACTTAAATTGAATATTTTTGTGCAAATAAATATAAAAGTACATCATACATATCAATACTTTACTTTGATAGTGTTCCTAAAAACATAATTTTTCAATTTTACCTCATTGCTCTCTTTTACTTTCCCAGATGTTATATACACAATCTTTTATTTAGGTACATATAAAACGTACATTTCCGGTACCGCATAGGCATAACCGGAAGTTGTTATATACAGTTGACCCCCCTATAACACTGTTGATAATTCCGTTTTATATGAATTCCATGTTGTACGAGTCACTTAGATTTTACAAATACGTGTGCTGGGCTGTGAATGGCTCACGTATTTGTAAAATTCAAGTGACTCGTACATGGAATTCATATAAAACGGAAATATCAACAGTGTTATAGGGGGAGGGGTCGACTGTATTGTAATTTTTTTGTCCAATGGTTCTTTTTACTTTTTAATATTTGTCTTCAAAAATTATATATATTTTTAAATTATTTTCTAAATTTATAATTTAAAAAAAAGAAACATTAGATAGTATCTAATTTAATAAAACACACTATTAATTAACAGTAATAATCTATATTCTATTCATTCAATCTATATTATTTTCTTCATAAAATATTTTTATTAGTTCAGGATGCTAAACTGTTCAATTGAAATTTATATATGCATTTATACTGTATATAAATTTTCTTGTACCTGAAAGAATCTAGTTATTTTTATCTGATTATAGGAGATTACTCCTATGTTTTACAAATTGTTTTTTTCTTTATATATAAATTTTCATATCCTCGTTAAATATTTAATACTTAAGTAGTTTATCTTATTCGTGGAAGGTTCAATACATTATCAAAGAAATAAATTTTACTTCTACATAAAATTTATAATACTCAGTCAATCATAAGATATTATAACTATCTTTGTTGAATGTGTAATTTGTTTAAGTTGAAATTATTATTTTCCCACAGAACATTGTCATCATATGGCTGATAGTTTTAGATTAATCTTTTTTATTTTTTTTATAAATTTATCTTTATTAAATTTTGAAAATTTTATATATTTTATACTTGATTAGTTTTATGTGCAACATCACTTTTTTCAGTGGCTTTAAAGCACACACCAAACAATTCCTATTAAAATCTGGCAAACAGAAAGATCCATGTCTGAAACAGGATTTAAACTAATGATCTGGCAAACTAGAAACAATAAATGTGAATTTTTTTTATATACAAAAATTCCACGAAACAAAATATCTTTATAAGAAATTTAAATAATTTATTATTAATTTTGTATTTAATCTCTCACTTTATCAGAGTACATAGAACCAGCTGATTGTAATCACTTTGACACTTGCCTGTACTGATGATGATAACCCAACTGATAATTAGTGGAAATTTTTTTATTAACTAATATTAAAAAGATATGTTAAAATAATATACAGTAAAAATATATAACTTGAAAGATATATTAATTTATTTTTACTCTTTGTCCCAAGGGCACTAAAAGGGCTTACAACCTGACCATTGTGGCCCTGGCCAACAATGGTCAGGTTGTAAGCCCTTTTAGTGCCCTTGGGACAGAAAGAGTAAAAATAAATTAATATATCTTTCAAGTTATATATTGACCATTGTTGGCCAGGGCCACAATGGTCAGGTGGTAGGGATGAGGCACAACGTGTTTGAGACAGATCATCCTTTGAAAATTCTTGGGATTTTTTGAACCAACCAGATTCCATCCCAGATCCCTCAGAGCAGTATGCTGACACCATTACCACTCAATCATTCAGCTGTCAGATATTTAATTATAATTCTTCTTGTTAATAATTAAAAGTACAGTAGACCCCCCTATAAAACGGGTTCCTATAATTACGATTCCTATAAAACTGCAAAAAAATTGCGACGGTATCCGTAAAAAACGATAAAAAACTCCTATAATTACGTAAAAAGTCATCGGGCAGCCGAACTACTTTCTGCGCCGTCAAGCGCCACGCTACAGAGAGTTTAGGCGAACTACTGTCTGTACAGTATGTAAATTAGGTACCATAAGTCTAATACAGCACTGTAATTTTATACATTTCTTGTGAAAGAAACATTTCTTATTCAACGACAATAAAAATTATTTATATTTATGATGTCTCCAAAGTTCAGCGAAGTTTTCGCAGAAAAATAACATCAGAAATTGCGGCCGCAGTTTGCTGAGCTGTTCCGCGACGAAAACAAGCTTGAGCAACAACGATGTCGAATGGTGCACACTTGGTAAGTAATCCTACAATTTTTTGTTTATAGCGTAGTTTATACGGATTATTTCCAAAAAAAATATACGTATTTTGGAAATGTTGAGTCGGATTAGTCTAGAATCGATTAATCTTATGGAAGAAAACCTTTCAAACAGCCGTAGTCCGTAAACTTGACACGTGTCGGGCTGTGATTGGAAGGACTCGTAAGAAATCGTATTCCTAAAGAATGGAACATATCTACTGTCTTATAGGGGGGTCGACTGTACTCTAAATCCTCAACAGAGATCAGTCTCCTATAAATGATGGCTATTTAGTTTAAACTACTGAATATATGCCAGGTGTCATTGAATTCCTATGTGCAGCTCACAAAACTTAAAGCCTAGCACAAACTAATTGATGTTATTGCTTTTGATGTGACATCAGAAGTGATTTTTATGATCACCCCTTGTGATATTACTCATGACATAGTTCTGAAGAACCAATGAACATTTTACCTGAAATGTTCAATGGTTCTTCAGAACTATTCAATTTAAAATGGCAACAATCAGCAATAATAATTTGTTGATTTTAGCCTCAGCTTCTTCCATTTGTTGCCAAATTGGCAAAAATTTAATAAATAAACAAAATTGGGAATTCTATAGAGCAGTGGTCCCCAACCCCCGGGCCGGTACTGGTCTGTGGATCAAATGTTACCGGGTCGCCCAAGGAACATTAATTTATTTCCATTTTATTTACTATGGTGTATTTCTCTCAGGTTTGCGTGACTTTTAATGGACGATGGAACAACGGAATAAACTGGACATAAGAAACACACTTCGGGTGTCATTTTCTCCTACTACCTCCAGATGGAACTGTCTTGTTGCAAAGAAACAAGCTCAGGGTTCTCATTGATTTAGCATTCTAGTGAGTTAATATGTTAAATCACATTATATGCATTCTTTGGTGTAACTGTATTTTATTTTGAAGGCATGTTTAAATACAATTAAATTAAATCAATCTAAAATATAAACAATCAACGTTCCCCCCTCAGGGGGACGCAGTAAAATTATCAAACGTTGACCGGTCTGCGGTGATAAAAAGGTTGGGGACCGCTGCTATAGAGAATGGATTCAAAGTCGTAATGTGTACTTCACTTTTATAATTTCAATGAAATCCATAAAATAATTTATATTCTTATGTCTGTAAAAATCTATCAAACAGCTTTGTTTCAGAATCTCAGTGTAGCAAAGCCAAGACAAAAATCACAGCACTAACACATGACAACTTGTTTGTGTATAAAATTATAAACTTGACTACAGTGAATGTTCCTTTTCTCTTAAACTTTCAAACACGCACAAGTGTCTCCTGATCATCATTTGAAAAATTCAACAAATTTGATCCAAGATTTGCCAAACAGACCACCTAATTTACAACAAAGAGTATGATGTAGTGGGTTTTCAAGTTGATGGCTGTGCGATCAATGGTTGAACCTATGACAATTGAACAAATTTTGTTTCACATCACCTCCAACCAATTTGCTGAGATATCAACTAGTTTGAGCTGGGCTTAAGAGTTGTTCTGTACATGCTTTGGTATTTTTTCCTATGGGAACACTTGAAAAACATTTTTACTACAATATGGAGTGCACCTGAAATACATGGTAAATAATGTGTGAGTGGGCACAGTTTTCTGTATTTTCTGTTCAAACTGTTCATTTTACACAATCAGCAAACCAGACATCAATCAGAATGGCAACCAAGAAGTCTTACAGCATTGTCTTCAAACTGAACACAGTTGTGTACACAAAATAACACTCTGGAAGAGCAGAAGCATGTAAGATTAAACCATATTCCCCCTTTTTTATCACTAGTTTGTATATGAGAGATGAAATAGATGCCAGGTCTCCAAAAGAGACCAGTCTTTTATATATGATAGGGTTATATTGGGTATATTCTACCCAATATACCTGGACATCTATTAGAGAATTTATGGTAATTCATCCAGTGTGTAATTGAAGAAGAAACACTAAGAATTTAAACAAACTATTATACTAGTAATAATGAATAAAATTATTAACCTTACGGCACTGATAAGTTTGATAATTATAACAAAGAACCATGGCACATTTAGTCACATGATGAAACTGATATACAAAAAATAACTAAAATGACTATTTACCTAACAATAATAACTATAACTAAACTCTGAACTAACAATTAACAAGATTTCCTATTTAACTTACATGTTTTGGAACATACTAATTCTGATAACAGATTCTATACAACAAAATGTATTTAGGTAAGTTAAAGATAGCATAAAATACAGTCAAAAACATTATTCAATAAACTATATTTAATTTCCAGAATTATGAAGCTTTTTAATTTGTTCTAATATAAAATGCATATTTTTCACAAAACAACTATATTTTGTGAATGATATGCCTTATCAAGGTCTAATTTTCTTCACAATAATATCAAGCACTGTTGATATAAATAGTATTGATAGTAGATCTAACACAGCTAAATACATTTAGATGAGTAAGTACAGACAAAACTTTACCCAAGATATTTTTCTATAGTTCATTAAATTGTAAGATAATTTTGCATACTATCAACTTAGTAAATTTTATCAAATCTTAGTAGTAATTTACCAAACTTTTTGAAAATACATTGTTTTACATAACAATTTCCTCAAATATTTGAGAAATTCATTTTAATCTTGTGATTAAATATCACCAAGTCTTACATACTGTATAAATGTACTCGTTACTTTATTCTAAAATGATAAACATAAATTCTTCAGAATATTTTAATGTATATTTTATATACATATACAGTAGACCCACCTATAAAACAGGTTCATATAATGCAGATTCGTATATAGCGGCAAAAAAATTGCGACCGTATTCGTATAAACACGCTAAAAGAAACTCATAAAATACGGTAAAACATCATCGCCGACTCGTGTCACGACAGGATTGGTCGAATCTAGACCAATAGCGGATATTGCACAAACCGTTGAGTTTAAACGAGCAGCAGACCTACTAAAAACCATTTATTATTTAATGGCCATAAAAATTATATTTATATTAATGATGTCTCCAAAGTTCAACAAATTTTTCGCAGAAAAATAATTTATCAGGAAACACGTGCCCGCTGTTTGATGCACCGCTCCACAACCAAAACAAGCTTAAGCAATTGTGTCATCGAACAGTGCACACTCAGTAAGTAATCCTACAATTTTTTGTTTATAGCATAGTTTATATGGATTATTCCCAAAAAATTATACATGTTTTGGAAATGTCGAGTCTAGAATCGATTAATTTTATGGAAGGAAACCTTTCAAACAGCCGTAGTCCGTAAACTGCATACATGCCGGGCTGTGATTGGCTCATGTATTTAAGGACTCATAGAACATGAATTTCATAAAAAGTGGAACATATCTACTATGTTATAGGGGGGTCAACTGTATTTTTTCAATAACTCTCGTCCTCTTTTATTTTTTAAGAAAGAATCGTTTTGAAACAACATATCTTAATTTAATTCTTAAAATTTAGATTCGTGTACTACAAATCATGATATTGTATCCAGTGATAACTTATAGAAAATAAGTTTGCCAACTCCTAAAGGGTTGATTCTAAAAGTTTTCCTTTCCAGGAGTTAAAAATTTCAGAGAATTTGACATTTTTTACTCTCAAAATGTTATCACCTATTCTTTACTCTATTTTAAAATAAATTAACACTTCTTTAGTATATTTTAATAACCCAAAAGTTGATCATCTTGTTAAGTAAATAAAGAATGGACTTCTAAAATGAAGCCTAATTTAAAAATTTTTGCCAAACTTTGGAATCTCCTTGTGAGTCTGGAAGAGTTGGTAACATCTCCTGATCATCATTTGAAAAATTCAACAAATTTGATCCAAGATTTACCAAACAGACCACCTAATTTACAACAAAGAGTATGATGTAGTGGGTTTTCAAGTTGATGGCTGTGCGATCAATGGTTGAACCTATGACAATTGAAGTGCTTCAGTTTATTGGCTAACAGCAATGATAACAAATATACAGTATATTCACCAACTGATGCTAAAGGATATTATCAAATTTTATCATACGACATTCTTCTTTAATTATAAATTATTATTAATAGATTTGTGTGTAATCTCTCAAAACTGTTATCCTAATTAGTCCTAAAGCTGATTCAAACTTCAAATAAACTAGAGCTTCTTCTGCAATGCAAGATTAACTACATTTTTTCAGTGTCCATCATGAGAATCCAATTTCCAAAAAGTTAATATTCTTAATAGCTACTTCTGAATTTGCTATTAAGAATATTAATTATAAAATAGGACAAAAAGTAAATAATAATTATTAATTCCAAAAAACTATTCATCTTTCATTAGTAATTTATGTCTGATATTCTATAAAAGATAATGAATGGGAAAACATGGGAAAACACAATAACTAAATGGGAAAAAAGACTGTTATTCAGCTTGATCATCATAGAAAACAGACTATCAGCAGGAACCAGAGTTACTTCAAATAATTATCGGATAAGAGGATCATTTTGAAGTTAAAGTGGCACATAAATGAAAAAGTTATCTTATGTGTATAATATATTAATAATTATGTTACATGCATTTTATACAGTAAACCAGAAATAACATACCAATAGAGAGCAGCAAATAATTTCTATCATAAGTAAGTTACATTGCAAGTTGACTTTAACTTATCAACATTAACCATTTGTAATAAAAGCTATATCTGATTGCTCAATAATTATGTAAACATTGGGCACTTGTTTGATAATGCTTCTTTAATGCAGTTGGATAAACAATCAATGACATAGTCCATATTAAATGAAATTATGTCATTGGTTTGCTTATTCAGCTTATTAAAGTTGCTTTATTAGGCAATGTGCCCTTTCAAGACTAAATAATTACACACTATAAGCTTTATTTTCTTGTACACACATTTCGTGCAGTGTAAGGATCCTCCTGAAAAAGTAATCTGAAAAATTAATACTGAAAATTCATTTTAAAACTATGTTGATGAAATGGTTATATATCAAGCATTTTCTGTATTAATGTCTGAGTAATAAAATTATTTGGCCACTTAAATATCAAACTATTTGAATCTGAAAATGTGAAATTTGAAGTATATTCTATAAAGATAGTCATCTAACAACTAGTTAACTAGTTACCAATATACAGTATATATAATGAGCATTTCTATCAAATTTAAAAGGAAGTATTATATCATATGTTCAAATTTCATTGCTTTTTCTAAGTTATTGAAATATTTTTTTAAAAATCATTAAGTCAAATTATAGTTTTACAGCTCATTTCATGAATCTTGGCTGGGCAGTAAAAATGCACAGTATCAGGGAACAGTCTATTTAATTACTAAAGGAAATGGGTTGTTGATGAAACATTGGAAAGGTCACTGTGCATTACTAAAAAAGGGACTCTTGAACTTTTTAAGACTTCCAGAGCCCCAAATGAGTACAGTGCAACATGCAGCCAAGATATATAAAATGATCTGTAAATTATACTATTTTTAAACTAGCCAACTGTTCAAATAAATAAGACATTTTAACATATATAAATATATTTTCAAATTATAATTATTACAAATAAAATGCTAGATTTCTATTATTCATTATATTAAGGATTTATTAAATGTGCTGTTTAATGTAAAGATTTGTAGATATTGATAATTTTTCCACAAAATATTTGCTTTCAATTAACATCAATATTGGTTGAAGTTTTGATTTAAATATTGTACATTTATTTTATACCTAAGTCTTTATTAATACTCCATTTTGACCCATTCCTTTGTTCTGTTTTAATTTCTTTGACACAAAAACATCAAATGAATGAAGAAGAAATTTATCGTGATATATGGTATTTGGGTATCATGGATGAAATTTAGAAAAGATGTTCTTATTACTTTCTACTTCTAAAAGTCATTTTATTCTGAAAAACAATTACAGGGGGTTCTCAAATAATATATGTTTGAATCCTGCTTCAGAAAAATCTTCAATATTTGTCCTAATTTTATCTTATCCATGTTAAAAGTTGCATATCGAAAGTTGCTTATTGGTATAGTGCATTCCATCATTCATAACTAGTGTGTTAGTAGAGTTAAATTTACATACAGAACATAACTATGACATTTATCATTAGTTTAAATGGTAAAAATTTTTGCTCAAATTATGCATGACTTACTTAGAACATACAATCCATAGGTGATTTGAGAACCCTTGATACTGTTTTACAAAATAATGAAATCTCAATTTTTTGTTTTTCATAAACATATAATATGAAAATAAAAATTATATATTCATTTATAAAGATGTAACTTATCATCAATATTTAGTACTAGGTTACAATAATTGTACATTACTATATGAAATAATATTGATATTTGAACATAAGTACAATATCCTTTACATTTCTGCCTATTGCAGAACTTACTAAATTAATTAAAATCTTAAATAGCTGTATTTAATACCATTATGGTAATAACAATACATTCAGATTAACAACAACTTGTAACCTGATTTAATCAATTAATGCTAAACAATCAGTTGAATTATCAGGCTATTTTTGGGTTACATTAATGATCAGTTACTAATTAATGTGACTAGAGGGAGACCGATTTGCCACCATCTCATATTAATTTTAACGATTATAATAAATTAATTTTTAATTAAGAAATTTCTGGAAAAAGTAGTAACTAATCATTAACATACAATCCTTAACATAACAATGATTGATCAGTAACTAATCATTAATGTAGCCTGAAAATAGCTGATAATTCAGTTGATCATTTGGCATTAATTATTCAGGTATGAGCTATAATACTCATATGTTCATGTATTTATTCTCAACTGAAAAAGGAAAAAATTATCTTTAGACACGATCATGGATGATTTAATTATTGGAATTTAAAATCAATACTCTCACAAGCTCTCTCTACAATTCCTTGATCATAATTAATGGTGAAATATTCAACATTTTCTGTAATACATTCTTTTTAAAATGTCTCAATCTGAAAAAAAAACAGAAAATTTTCCATTGTTTTAAAACCAAATTGAAAAGCCAGGAACACACACACTCATACACACAATACAGAGCAAATGTAAATGAAACAAAAAGTATTTTCTGAAGTTTTTGACAAAACAAAACAAAAAAATTAAATAGAGCAAATTTCTTTTTACTTGCTGAAAATTTTTATATTGAAGTTATCCCATAAAATTAGGCTTTTATAATGACATTTACTTTTGTAAGATTTAATGTGCATATTCACAATTATTTATTAAATTTTATTGATTTTTAACATACATCACCTCATTTGAAATTAATATTTCAATGGTAGTATTAATTGTAGTTAATGTATTGACAATTTACAAACTATGATATTATTTAAATAAACTATTTCTAAAATTTATCATAGTATATACAAAAGAAATATTGATTAACAATCCAAGGCTTTTCAATTTAATACTTGTTTTTGTCTTTAACGGGTTCTAATTAACACAAATTAATAACAAAGGTATAACACACACAGCTTTCTGACTGTCTCACAAGTTCTGGATATTTTGTGGGAAAAAATTTAATGATAATGCTGAAATAGCATCAACTTCCTGGCTTTCACAGATTTCCAACTTAGCATAGTTCCTCTTCCTTCAGATTTTACTGAATATTACTTCTATATAATGTTTTATCAAACTTATTCTTTTAAGAATTATGTATTGTTATATAATAATAATAATATACAGAATTCATTCTAATTGAATGGAATCAAAGAGAAATAATAATTAATATAATGGATATAACAGATGCTTTCATCTGTTTACAACAAATTATGTTATATTAAAGCAATTAAGGTATTTTCATAACTTTTATAAGTAATTTTTTTGCTGACTTTTTATAATTGAAATGAAAAACAAACTTCAGTCTTTCAACATAATACTTCATAATAATTTACTGAACTGCTAGATTCTTCAAAGATTATAGTACTTTAGTAGATGATTATTGATAATCAGGCTTGATTGTTTATGTATATTTCATGTTCTTTCTTTTGCAAGAGTGTCATTTTTATTTTCATTAACTATAGAATTATAGTGGGTATTTTTACATTATGACTTATTTTGGCCAACAAACTACTAGCCAAGTTGTCTTTTCCACTACAGTTAACTTATATATATAGAGCCCTTCTTGCCAATTTATCATAACTGACAAAAAGTAAATTTTACAGGAGAAGAATTTCTTAATTATTTTCTCTTACACATTAGCTATGAAGTAAATTTGTTGTGTATTAATATATTTTTAGGATATTTTACCTAGTAAAAGTACTTTTACTTATATTTTTAAAGTATAAAGATATGTTTTGGGGGCTATGATTCTTTCACTATCATTACTACAGCCCAGAAAGACTATAGTGGCGTATGCTTTGTACTTATGGTAAAATTTAACTTTTGTTAAATTGGCTAACTCTATACATGAAGACTGCAGACAACAAGAATATTCAGAATATACTGGATACTGCATCTGAATCTACTACATAACTGGAACTACAAAAAAAGATGTCTGTTTGATTTAGAAAAGAGTCAGTTAATCTCTAGGATGTACTTGGCTATGAATAATCTTCATTGGATGTTGTTTGTACTGGTTGAGGAGAGTCTGTGTTGAATTGCCAAACATTGAAAATTAAAAGCCCTGGTTCCAACATAGAAGTCCCATGATTAGGGTCTTCTGTTTTATTTTCATATATAATAATTTGATTATCAAAATCCATTAAAGTATACGAAGTGTCATTTGAATCACTGTCACTGTATGCAACAAGCCTGACAGGTATAATTTGACTTTGAAAGCTCTTGGTAAATCTGTGTTTAATGGAAGATCTTCACTAATAACTTATGTGTTTAAATTTAATGATAAATTATATGATTTAAGTGATCTAATTACCGAAAAACTCAAGTTTCAAAACAAGAAAAGTTACTTATCTGTTAGAATTCAAAATACGAATGAACTGAAATGTGCAATACCACCTGACAAATATTTTTTTTATAAGTGATGCTCACAAGAAATTGTGATAAATTTACCTTGTTTTCTATGTCGCATACAATGCGGAGTAAATGTAAACAAAACTTCTTTAAAATTCTTTTCTTCCTAATTATTTTATAGGTCCATCAAAGTATTACAGGACTTTTGTGACAT